CCCTGGGTGTGGAATGCATCACCTTTTATCTTACAAGAGATAAAAGAGAACGGATCAAGCAAAGAAAGACCTCAGTATCACCAAAAACGAATAGGGAGCAGAGCATGTTATTTAGACCCCGAATCCCTGTGCTGAAAATTTCCTAGACTCAGGGGCAGATAGATGCCAAGACACAGAGATCTCCAAGGGATAATATGTCCCACAGATGGTGAAAGGAGATCCTTCTTAGAACTGACAGGGAAAGCCTTCCCCTAAGATTGATATCCTGAATTTGGACTTCTAGCCTCCTGAACTGTTAAAGTAACGCTGTTGTGATATTTCTGTTATAGCTGCACTAAGACAGTCGGTCAGTGGAAGAAGCAGCACTGAAGCAGGCCCTGAGACAGGATATCTGCAGGGTCTTTCTGCTGGAAGGGCCACCTGAATGGAGGGCAGGAGTTCAGTGCCACTACTGAGTAGCAGTGTCCTCAGTGCGTAACTAAACCAAGGTTTCTAGGTTTCTTTTCCAGGGCCCTACCTTCTGGCAGTCCCTTTGGAAATGCTCTGGACTCCTGCGTTGACAGTCCGTGAGGTCGGCATTGTGGTGGGTTGTCATTTTAATTCCTGGTACTGATAAGGATAGGACAGGAACTTCTGTCTGCCAAGGGAAGGAACACTGCTTGCTAAAGAATGAATATTCTATCTGCTAAGGGGGTGAACAGCTGCAGGTTAGGAGGACAAACGATGGGCCTCGAGATAACAAGCCTGGTAAAGGTTTCAACTCTCCTGAGAGCCGGCTGAGTGGGCAGTCTAAAACATCTCACCCAGATTTATATCCTGTGATATGTCGTAGAGATTTTGATGCAGAATTGTTACCTGAGATAAATGAGAGAGAATTGTGTAAGAGACCCAAGGATGAACATACTCTACTCACTGTCATTAAGTCAATGCTGACTCATAGTGACCCTCTGTGGGTTTCTAACACTGTAACTGTTTACAGGAGGAAAAAGCTCAGTCTTTCTCCTGCAGAGGTGCTGGTGGTTTCAAACTGCTGACCATGCGGATAGCAGCCCAACATATAACCACTACACCATTAGGGCTCCTTGTAAGGATGCACTTAGGAACTAATCAGAAAGTAGTCTGACCATCAAAAGAGCAGCAGCCTCCCTCCCCTTTGAACTCACTGCTATTGAGTCAATCCCAACTCATAGTGACCCTAAAGGACAGGGTAGCACTGCCTCTGTGGGTGTCTGAGACTGTACCTACCTAGTTACCAAAGTAGAAAGTTGGGTCTTTCTCCCATGGAGCCGCTGGTAGTTTCGAACTGTGGACCTTTCCGATTGCAGCCAAACGCATAACCATTAAGCCATCCGAGGTCCCATTCCCTTTTGAATGTACCATTTAAAAACTAAAAGGCTTCCCCTAGACAACATCCCCCTAGTCTCCCACCTCACCTAGAAGAACCCACTATGCTCTCAGGGCTCCAGGCGAGGAGGCATATCTTATCTATGCTTAGTATCCTCCTCACTTCTCGAGGGGGCCCCACTTCAACTCTTGAAGTGACCCTGTGTTAAATAAACTCTCATATAACTTCTTGTGCTGCCGTGTGCTTGTGAATGTGTGTGAACTCAGCTAATCTCAGGCCCCTTACAAACCTGTGGATGACAACCTGGTGCTGAGAAGCTGGGCCTGACTTTCCTCTGCAGGACCAATGTCATAGTACCTCTGAAAGGTGACCATATTTGGAAAAAAGAGACTTTGCAGATATAATCCAATTAAGATGAAATAATATATCAATGTGACTGATATCTTAATTGAAGAAAAGAGACACACAAGGAGAATGCCATGCATGGAACGGCATATGGTCAGAATTCCTGGCCACACCAGAAGGAGGATTTTAGAAATCTGACCCTGTTGGGATGGTTGAGTAAATGTTTTCTATGTTCCGGTTAAGTCAGTTATCTTGGCCTGTCTGTAACCAGTATGTCTTTTAAGTTCCTGCCTGAATAAGACTCTAAGAAAAGGTAGCAAGCATATGGTCCCAGGGTGGTCCAATGCATACACCCAGTCTTCTACACTGTGTGAATTTAGGCAGGAAAAACTATTTAAATAATTACATTCTGTATTGCTTTTTTAGGAATAGAAACAGGTGAATTTTTTTGTACCTTCTCAAACCCTGAAAGCCCATGAATCACCAGTTGTGAAATGCTGTTTTATGCAAGCCAACCTTTATCTTGGATTACCAATTCCAGCATGAAAAAGAGTGTTTCTCATCTTCACCCTTTTGGGAGCTACACTATCTACCAACCTGCACTAGCAGCTTTTCACTGTAGTGAACACTTCTGGGAGAAGCCCCTCTTCTGCAGTTTCTTACCTGTGGCGTGTGGGTAAAAGTTGGGAGGGTTTAATGAGCTAATCCCTGCGAAGTAGGAAGTATGTAGTTCAGCACCTACGCCCAGGAAGCATTATGTAAGCAAGATGATTTTGAGAGTCCTATGAGTCCATGTTTTAATTAACTATTGAAGAGTTCTCTTTCTCTGATTAATTGCTTTTTGCACATTTATTAAGTGGTCATTATGGAAAGTCTCCAGGTAGCCCTGAGTTCTGGAGAGACCCTAGTGACTGTTCACAGACATGAGGGCCTGGGAGCCCATTTGTCTAACTCCCGAGGGGCTGGGCCCGCATCCCCACGGAGGGGAGGGTGCCTCTGAAGAAGACCTAGGAGGTGGAGTCACAGTTGTCTGTGTTGGGAAGTAGCATTTCCAGAAAGCGTCTTTAAGCCTCAACCATTCTTTCAGCAAAAGTAACTATACAAAACTGCCTGTCTCTCCAAGTACGCTCTATTTAATTTTGCAAAAAGTTCTTATCAGGGATTCTGGTGTTCTTTCAGGAAAGAGAAAACTGAGGCCAGCTTAGGAGGAAAGGGACATTTAAGTGAGTATCCTGGGTCCACAGCCAGGTTTCTTTTTATTTATTTATTTTTGTTGTTGTTGTTTTTTTGTTTGTTTGTTTTTTTCCTTTTTTCTTTTTTAACATTTTATTAGGGGCTCATACAACTGTTATCCCAATCCATACAGACATCAATTGTGTAAAGCGCATTTGTACATCGTTTCTCAAAATATTTTCTCTCCATTTAAACCCCCGATATTAGGTCCTCATTTTTCCCCTCCCTCCCCGCTCCCCCCTCCCGCATGAGCCCTTGATAGGTTATAAATGGGTATTTTGTCATATCTTGCCCTGTCCGACGTCTCCCTTCATCCACTTTTTGGTTGTCTGTCCCCCAGGGAGGAGGTCACACACAGTTCCATGTAATTGATTCCCTCTTCCCTGCCCATTCTCCCTTTACCCTCCCTGTTTTGCCACTCACACCACTGGTCCTATGGGGCTCATCCGTCCTGGATTCCCCGTATTTTCAGTTCCTATCTGTACCAGTGTACCTCCTCTGGTCTAGCCAGTCTTGCAAGATAGAATTCGAGTCATGGTAGTGGGAGCGGGGAGGAAACCTTTAGGAACTAGAGGAAGGCTGTATTTCTCATCATTGTTACATCGCACCCTGACTGCACAGCCAGGTTTCTTTGTCACGGGGCAAGCCTCAGTGCAGAATCCAGCTATCCTGCTGGGTCTCTCTACCTTTGCTACAGGAGTGATCTTTCTCTGTTCATGACCACTGACTAATGGCTTCAAACATTCAGTCAGTAAACCGAATGTCCTACCCTTTAACACCAGTCCCCTGGGAAGGTCAGCACAGGACAGCCATGCTTCTCATGCGGCTCAGAAAAGATGCATGTCGAGCGGAGATCAAGCCTAGCCTGTCTGTTAGCTGTGTTCTGCCCCCATTGACCCAGGGCAGCTGTCTTTACTAGGCTCGGTCCGGTTCTGAGGTTCTCTGGTGTTTGGGAGAATTTCAGACCCTTGGCAATGTGACTAGCAGTCCTGCTCTCTATCTCATGAGCCTTCATCTGGTGACTTTCTTCTGGGCCAATCAGCAGGACACCTCCCTCCTTGATTGGAGCTATGGAGTTAAGTTTGTTTGAAACACTTGCTGAGGAATAGGACCAACTAGAACTTGCAGAATATTACTTTAAAAAAAATCAACATCAATTGTAAGAGATCTCTAGAAACTCGGAGCACTTGGCGGTGCAGGGGCATGGGCACATACACTAGAAGCCAGATTAATGTACACTAACAGAGACTTAAAGAAATTGAAGATTCACTGAGGAGAACTCCCTGGAAAGGTAATAGATTCTTCTTTATAAATAGATTCTTAGGCTCTTCCCATAAAGTATATCCTCTCCTTCCCTTCCACTGAGCATTGCCTTCTAATTTGTAGCCTCCTAGAGAAAACGTTGGCTCCTACAGAGACCTTCTTCTCGTTACTTCAGTGGCCCTGTGGGCCTGGGCTGGGAAGTACCACCTTCTCTGAGCAGTACCTTTAGTGTTGCTTCTCCAGGCCATGCAGGCCCTCTTGTCTCCCATGATTCTTGTGTTGTATTGCAAGGATTTGTGCAATATAAACTGCTTGAGTCTTCCAGATACAGAGCTTACAGGGTGAAGGCCCAGCCCGATTTGCTGAGCAACAGCTCACCACGTGCGCCATCCCCCATCCTGCCTTCAAGTGTTCCCCTTGCCTAACTTCAAACAAGAAACAAACAAACTCACTACCATCGGTTGGTTCTGATTACCATCGACCCTATAGGGCAGGGTAGAAATGTACCTGTTGATTTACAAGACTGAAACTCTTTTCAATAGAAAACTTCCTCTTTCTCCCAAGGAGCAGTTGGTGGTTTCGAACTGCTGCCCTTGAGATTAGTAGCCGAATGTGTAACCCACTACGCCGCCAGGACTCAACTAGAGCCTTTCAAATGGTGCTACCCAGC